GGCACCTGCCACCATGCCCAGCTAATTTTTTTTTGAGGCAGGGTCTCACACTGTCACCTGGGCTGGTGTGCAGTGGCGCGATCTTGGCTCACTGCAAGCTCCACCTCCCAGGTTCATGGCATTCTCCTGCCTCAGGCTCCCGAATACCTAGGATTACAGGCGTCCACCACCACACCTAGCTAATTTTTGTATTTTTAGTAGAGACAGGGTTTCACCGTGTTAGCCATGCTGGTCTCGAACTCCTGACCTTGTGATCTTCCTGCCTCGGCCTCCCAAAGTGCTGGGATTACAGGAGTGAGCCACTGCACCGGCTATACTTTCCATCTGGAATTGCTTTGTCATGTTTACTGATCAGTTGACTGTAGATGTGTAGGTGTACATCTAGGCTAACTTGTCTAATTTGGTGATCTGTCTGCTGATACTTATGCCAATACCATAGTCTTGATTACTAAAGTTTAATTAAAGTTTTGAAATCAGGTAATGTAAATCTTCCTACTTTTTTTCTGAGATGGAGTCTTGCTCTGTCGCCCAGGCTGGAGTGCAGTGGCACAATCTCGGCTCACTGCAACCTCCGCCTCCTGGGTTCACACCATTCTCCTGCCTCAGCCTCCTGAGTAGCTGGGACTATAGGTGCTTGCCACTACGCCCGGCTAATTTTTTGTATTCTTTAGTAGAGATGGAGTTTCACTGTTAGCCAGGATGGTCTCGATCTCCTGACCTCGTGATCCACCCGCCTCGGCCTCCCAAAGTGCTGGGATTACAGGAGTGAGTCACCGCACCCAGCTGTCTTCCTACTTTTTCAAAATCATTTTGGTTGTTTCATATAGATTTTAGGATCAGTTTGTCAATTTCTACAAATCTCTAGGATTTTTTGTTAGGGGTTGTATTGTATCTATAGATCAATTTGGACAGAATTGCAATCATAACAATATTGTCTTTCAATCTGGAACATAGTATGTCTCTCCGTTGATTTTCATCTGTCTTGATTCTTTCAGGAGTGTTTTACATGTTTTAGTGTACAAACCTTGCACTTCTTTTGTTGAATTCAGTCTTAGGTATTTTGTTATTTTTGATGCTACTGTGAATGGAATTATTTCTTTTTGATTTTTGACGGCATAGATAAATACAGTCTATTTTTTGCATATTGACATTCTATCTGGCAACCTTCCAAAACTCACTTATTACCTCTGGTAATTTGTTGTTGTTGTTGTTGTTAATTTTTAAACTGTTAAAACATTTTTTAGGCCGGGTGCGGTGGCTCACGCCTGTAATCCTAGCACTTTGGGAGGCCAAGGCAGGTGGATCACCGGAGGTCGGGAGTTAGAAACCAGCCTGACCAATATGGAGAAACCCTGTCTCTACTAAAAATACAAAATTAGGTGGGCATGGTGGTGCATGCCTGTAATCCCAGCTACTTGGGAGGCTGAGGCAGGAGAATAGTTTGAACCCAGGAGGCAGAGGTTGCGGTGAGCCGAGATCGCGCCATTGCACTCCAGCCTGGGCAACAAGAGCGAAACTCCTCCTTGAGGGGGAAAAAAGAAAAAAATTGCTGGTACGTAGTAGGTGTACATATTTATGGAGTAAATGAGTTTCTTTTTTTGTTTTTTGAGACAAGAGTCTTGCTCTGTTGCCGAGGTTGGAGTGCAGTGGCGGGATCTCAGCTTACTGCAACTTCCACCCCACCGGAGTTTTGTTTTTGTTTTTGTTTTTAGAATTGGAGCCTCATTCTGTTGCCCAGCTTGGACTGATCTTGGCTCACTGTAACATCCACCTCCCGGGTTCAAGCAATTCTCCTGCTTCAGCCTCCCATTGGCGGGGACTACAGGCACATGCCGCCATGCCTGGCTAATTTCTTTTGTATTTTAGTAGAGACGGGGTTTCATCGTGTTGCCCAGGCTGGTCTCAGGAGCTCAGACAATCTGCCAGCTTCAGCATCCCAAAGTACTAGGATTATAGGCCTGAGTCACCACACCCGGCCACCCCCTGGGTTTTAAGTGATTCTCCTGCCTCAGCCTTCCAGGTAGCAGGGATTACAAGCATGGGCCACCACGCCCGGCTAAGTATTGTATTTTTTAGTAGAGGTGGCGTTTCATCATGTTGGTCAGGCTGGTCTTGAACTCCTGGCCTCAAGTGATGCGCTCACCTCAGCCTCCTAAAGTGCTGGGATTACAGGCCTGAGCCACCGCGCCTGGCCCAGAGATGTTTGGATACAGGCATGCAATGTGAAATAAGCACATCAGGGAGACTGGAGTATCCATCCACTCAAGAATTTATCCTTTGATTTACAAGTAATCCAGTTGCCTTCTTTTTTTTCTTTTTTTTGAGATGGAATTTCACTCCTGTTGCCCAGGCTGGAGCGCAACCTCTGCCTTTCGGTTTCAAGCGATTCTCCTGCCCCAGCCTCCTGAGTAGCTGGGATTACAGGCATGCAGCCACTATGCCCTGCTAATTTTGTATTTTAAGTAGAGACGGGTTTTTCCATGTTGGTCAGGCTGATCTCGAACTCGTGACCTCAGGTGATCAGTCCGCCTCAGCCTCCCAAAGCGCTGGGATTACAGGCATGAGCCACTGCGCCTGGTCGACGAGTTTTAAAAAATTTTGTATCAGTATGAACTCATAGATGTTAACATATGCAGTATATTTCAGTCTATTGAAATTTTTCATTTTTATGCTCAAATCATCCCATCTTTGGCAAGTAGGAGCCAGTTTGGTTCTTCAGTCATTCTGAATGACCCTAGTACCCTGGTATTCTTTTTTTTTATTTATTTATTTACTTATATATTTGAGTTTTGCATTTTGATATAAGACGTCTTAGACTCACAGAAAGGCCTTTTGAGATAGCAAGACAAATTTGACGGATTTAATTTCAGCCAAAGGAAGAGAATAATGTCAGCTTTTCTCTCCTCACCCCCAGAAACTTGAAAGAAACCAGGACAATTGTGAAGGCAGTTTTCTCACTGAAAAGAAGTGCACGTTGGTGGTGAGACAGTTAAATGAGGATTCTAACCTGTGGACTGCACTGGTTGTCACTAGAGGGGGTATATACTGTATTTATTCAAAGAGTTCAAGCCTGTAATCCCAGCACTTCGGGAGGCCGAGGTGGGAAGATTGCTTGAGCCCAGGAGTTTGAAACCAACTTGGGTCAAACAGTGATACCTCATCTCTAGAAAAAAATAAAAAAATGGGGTGGAAAGATCGCTTGAGCCCAAGGAGTTGTGGCTGCAATGAGCCATAAGTGAACAACTGTACCTGGGTGACAGAGTGAGACTGTGCCTAAAAAAAAAAAATTAAAAAAAAAATGGAAAGACAATTCTAACATCCAATTCTAACATCTGTAAGCGTATCTGTCCAAGCACAGAGCTAAACTAAAAACACAGAAAGGGGCTGGGTGCAGTGGCTCACGCCTATAATCCCAGCACTTTGGGAGGCTAAGGTGGGTGGATCACCTGAGGTCAGGAGTTTGAGACCAGCCTGACTGACATGGTGAAACCCCGTCTCTACTAAAAATATAAAATTAGTCGGGCGTGGTGGCGCATGCTTGTAATCCCAGCTACTTGGGAGGCTGAGGTAGGAGAATTGCTTGAACCTGGGGAGGTGGATGTTGCGGTGAGCCAAGATTGCACCACTGCACTCCAGCCTGGGCAACGAGAGCAAAACTCTTGTCTCAAAAAATCAAACAAATACACACACAGGAAAGGAAACGGCATAATAAAAAGGAAGGAGTATTAACCACAGGGCATCCATGTTGGAGTGTCCAAATCAGCCTCCTTTTCATTAATCATAAATCCCCTGGTGCTGTCTCCTGTTGGCTTTTCATGCACCTTCAAATCACGTATGGGGGTGTGAGAAAGACAGTTAAAAAAGGAAAGGTTTGTTATCCCACCGTTAGGGGTGAGGGAGATACTTAGCCAAGTGATGACTAGTAATAAGCTCTAAAACTGTGGGCCGTTTTATCCATGTTCATTGTTTCATATTTTTCTGGACCCACAAGATGGCACTTGAGGATCTACAACAGCAAAACCATACCAACGTATTTAGAATAAAAGAATCATAAACAGGGTCAGATTAACGATGCATCTTTCTGGCCTAACAGTGTCTCTTTGATGGGCATAGAAATAAGGGGACTATGGCTACTCCATCATAATTGTATTATTCAATTAATAATAGCTACCACTTGGAAATGCTTCCTGTGCCCCAGGGCACTGTGCTCATCACTTTACATCTCATTTCATCTATAAGACTCTATACAACTTCATCTCCACTTTACAGATGAAGAAACTGAACTTTAAGTTACATAACCTGCTCAGTGTGTACTATCACATGTGCTGAAGCTGGGATTCATCAAGCGGCCAAAAAACCCAGGTTCCCTTACCATTGCTATGTTAACCAATAGACTGATATATTTTAAATCAGTTTCTATTTTTCCAACCTTGTAAGTTGGAAAAGCTGCACTCTGCACTGATTTAGTACTGGTGGCTGCTTAAAAATTGCCTTATTCCATTTTAGCAGGCCGTCCCCGCCAAAATACCCTAATTACTGGTATCATCCTCTCTATTCCGAGAATTTTCTCTTAAGACTCCCGCTCTGTGCGTTTGCTTGGGAAGGCAGAGCACTGTCCTCATCTCCCCATCTACGCTTTCCTCATTCTAAGCCCTTTCCTATGTTCTTTATGTTCGAGGTGGCTCCACCTCCACCATGAGCCAGAGCCAATGATGCTCATGGCCCCAGCCATACTTAAAGATAGAGATTGCCCTGTAAGGTAAATCAGTTAAAATCAACCTCTCCTGCCCTGAGTTGATAGGTAGGGTTAGGGTTGCCAGATGTCACAAAGTTACAGAATGCTCAGTTTTAGGGTATATCCCTTATTCAATAAGGGTTACAGTAAAAAATATTCATTATGTGAAATTCAAATATAACTGGGTATCAGGTATTCTATGTGGCAACCCTAGGTAGGGGAGTACGGGTAAGGCAAGAGATTAGAAGATTTGCAGCCTCCAAGGTTTCTGCACCTCGATGGGACACTAGAAAGGAAGGCTTCTGGGCCTTTCTGGCTCTGGGAATGAAGCATGGAAAACCCTCCCTACGGGGGCGCAGGGCTTCAAGCAGCCAAGCCCTGACTTCCGAGGGAAGAAAGGAGGCCATGGGCCTCTGCCAGAGCCCTGCTCTGAACTCTATGGTCAGCAGAGTTCAAAACGACCTGCGACGTCTGGCGCTTAGCTCCTAATGGGGTCTCCAGTCCAGCGGCGACGGCCAGCGGCTAGACGCCATCCGCCCGACTCCAAGATGGCGCCCGCCACAGCTGCCAGGTGTTAAGATGGCGGCGCGGGGCCGCGCCCGCGCTCCCACACTCTCCTCCCCCAGCCTCCCTCGGGCTGGTAGCACGACTCGCGTAGCCGTGCGCGGGTTGCCTTTCGGCCTGGGCAGTGGTCCTGGCTGCCGGTCGACGACCGCCCCGCGTCATGCGGCTCCTCAGCTGGTGGCAAGTACTGCTGTGGGTGCTGGGGCGTCCCGTCCGCGGCGTGGAGGGTGAGTGTGGGCCGGGGTCGGTGCATGAGATGACTCGGCGAGCTGAGGTCCACCGGGGCGACGCTCTGG